AGACTGAGGGGGGATATGATAGAGGTATATAAAATCATGAGTGGTGTAGAGAGGGCCGATAAAGAAACGTTATTTATTAGTTCCCTAAATAGAAGAACTAGAGGACACCACATTAAATTAATGGGTAGCAGGTTTAAAACGAATAAAAGAAAGTTCTTCTTCACACAGCGTGTAGTCAACCTGTGGAACTCCTTGCCAGAGGAGGCTGTGAAGCTAGGACTATAACAGAGTTTAAAGAGAAGCTAGATAATTTCATGGAAGTTAGGTCCATAAAAGGCTAGTAGCCAGGGGATAAAATGGTGTCCTTGGCCTCTGTCTGTCAGAGGCTGGAGAGGGATGGCAGGAGACAAATCACTTGATCATTGTCTTTGGTCCACCCTCTCTGGGGCACCTGGTGCTGGCCACTGTCGGTAGACAGGATACTGGGCTGGATGGACCTTTGGTCTGACCCATTACGGCCATTCTTATGTTCTTATGTTCATGCATCTGACTAAGTGGGTCTTTGCCCACAAAAGCTTATGCTCCAATACATCTGTTAGTCTATAAGGTGCCATGGGACTCCTTGTCGCTTTTGGAGAAAAAAGATATTCAGCTTCAATGGGCATTTTACCTTTGAAAGTTCAAACATACCATATTTTACTATTTCACTGTGAAGTTTTCAAGTAAGAAAACTATGATATGACATTTGTACATTTTATTAAAAAGTAGAAATCAATTTAAGAAGGATGTTATCAAATTACCTTTCTCTGAACATAAGTAAAAGTATAGAAAGAAGAACATTATTAGCTGCTATAACAGATCATTAGATGAGTATTAATGTTGCATACTTTTGGGCTCATATCTAATTTTTCTTGTACCTTGTTTGAAAGTTTGTCTAAGCAGCAGGGGTTCCAGTGATGGATCTAGTTCTTCACCAACATTTTCTAGCAGAAGAGGAGTTCCAAACTGAATGCAGTTCTCCAATATTCTCATGTAATCTGTATCGGTGAACTTGATAACACTTAACTGGTTTTCTTTCTCGGAGTTCTTTATCCATTTATTGGCTTGACCCTGGGGATCAATCATTAATGGCCTAGAACATACAATACAAAGAACTTGTTCAATACCTACCTGACATTTGTAAATTTGAAATTATTTCTCCTGTGGTCTAGCTGGAAAAAACAATGATTATTATTTTAAGGGCTGAATATCCACTGGCTGAATATTTACAGCCAGTGGATTTATACAATTTGAACAGAAGTATCAGAATTCTTTTTAGAGTCACGAAGACTCTTATAATTCTTTTTAGAGTCATGAAGGTGCTTATTATTATTTTTTAAAACATAGGGCAGAATTCACAACTTTTTTGACAGCTTCACTTTATATCTCCTTTAGAATCCTGAATTTTTAGAATTTTCATTATATGTTAGTTTCGCAATATTTTTGGTTTTTTTTACAATAATTACCAGTAATTTGAGACAAATAGTGCTGAGATATTGAGGAATAATTGCTATCAGTTGGAACTATACTCACTTGCTATAACTGAAGACGTGGGTCTATGTTTGCAAGAAAGCAAAAGCTTTTAGAAAAAAGTTGTCAGGCATGTTTAGTGCACCCATAGATAGGCTGTCTGGTTACATGAGATTTGGTAGGCAGAAGTGGGTTAAACTTATCCTGTGAATCAGCGTCTGTACCAAATGATTAGAAAATAGCTAACATGATGCCAATATTTTAAAAAGGCTCTAGAGGTGACCCTGGCAATTACAGACCGATAAGTCTAACGTTAGTACTGGGCAAATTAGATGAAACTATAGTAAGGAATAAAATTATTAGACATGTAGATGAACAGAATTTGTTGGGGAAAAGTCAACATGGTTTCTGTAAAGGAAAATCATGCCTTACTAATCTACTAGAGTTCTCTGAGGGAGTCAACAAACATGTGGACAAGAGGGATCCAAAGGATATAGTGCACTTAGATTTCCAGAATGCCTTTGACAAGCTCCCTCACCAAAGGCTCTTAAAAGTAAAGTAAGTTGTCATGGGATAAGAGGGAAGGATCTTTCATGGATTGATAACTGGTTAAAAGACAGGAAACAAGGGTAGGAATAAACTGTAAGTTTTCAGAATGGAGAGAGGTAACAAGTGGTGTCCCCCAAGAGTCTGTCCTGGGACCAATCCTATTCAATTTATTTATGAATAATCTAGAGAAAAGGAGTAAACAGAGAGGTGGTAAAATTAGCAAATTATACTAACCTGCTCAAGATAATTAAGACCAAAGCAGACTGTGAAGAGCTTCAAAATTATCTCACCAAACTAAGAGTATGTCTATACTTGCTCCCTGTCTTGAGATAGTGATGCAAACATAGTGGTCCGAAATTGCTAATGAAGTGCGGGATTTAAATATCCCGCACTTAATTAGCATAATCACGTCCGGCCGCCATTTTGAAATTGCATTATTGCGAAATAAAACGCCCCATGTAGCAGCGTTATTGGAAAATAATGGATAATTTAGAAGCTAGTTTAATCATAATATAAAATTCAACAACTGCATTTAAAGATGAAAAAATTATCTGTTATATTCTGGAAGGAAAACTTTCAACCATTAGAAAACATTGGATCGAATACTGTGAGAAACAGAGCCCCCTTAAGTTGCACTGATGGGGTTGGGAGGAAAAAGGTATTCAACACTTTTCTGGGATCAGTCACACTATTTCTAGTATCTAAACTAAATTTCATTTAGTCTGAAATCTCAGTTTGTTTTAGAAAATTATTAGCTTCTTTGCTACCTACCATCGCCTGGAGTTGTCAACAATCACACCATTATCAACTGAAAAGTTATCTGTTGGTAATCCAGCAATATTCCAGGCTCTGATTTTTATTGGATCACCCAGGGTCTTACATAAAGAGAAATTCTCAGAACAAGGGATATTCTTTTCCTGCAAGAAAAAAATAAATCTTCATTTTTATTTCTCTAATTTTTGTTGAAATATTGTTTCAGATAAAAACATTAATTTATTTGTAACTTGCTTTAATACTGGCTTTTGATCAAGGATAGAAACCCATGGGAGAAAAGTTCACTTCTGCAGAAAATGGAAAGATTTTTCCCAATTTGGCAGAAACTTTTTGCTGAGATTTTGTGGGACTTTTCTCAATTTTTTTCTAGTTCTGAAAGTTTTCTTTTTTACCCTTTTGTAATATGCTATGTGATGATAAATTTACTATGGTGTAATGGGAAAAACAGAACCATATGGAAATCCTTAAATTGCAAGGACATGTTCCAAACTTCTGATTATTTTTTCTGTAATTCCACTTCCAATTCACTCAATTCAGTCAATTACTCTAGATTTACAGAAGAATAAATCAGCAAAATTTAGACCACTGACTTTAATACAAGTTTTCACTGAGTAGACACGAAATAAAAATGAAAAATTTCAGGATTTGGTTCACAGATTTAAAGCATCTTGGGATGAAAGATACTATTTCAATCTGAGATAACCTTTCTAACCTTGCACAACTTGCTCCAGTCTTTAGTACATTCTTGTCGAAAGGCACTAGTGAAAGCACCCAAATAAGCTATCACTCCAGCTGATATCAGAACATCTCCTGTCAAATTATCATATGTATTTTGAAGATCATTTGCAGCATTACACCATCTATAGATAAACAAAGTTACCACATAAAAAAGTTAAAACAGCTATATAGTAACAGAGTACATCATCAACACAAGAAGTGTTTTTCCATTTTTGTTAAAGGTGAACAGCAAAGGAATAATGAAAACATTGTGTTTGTGACCTTAAATGTTGCTTTGAAGTCTGTCTGTCTAAGTGTTTTGATGAATATTTATTACATCACCATATTCGGTCTTTTGACAATCTTTGAAGGATCTGATTGCCCCAGTCCCCAAATGAGGATACAGGGATGCAAAAGTTTAAGGCTCAGCGAACTAAAGCTCAGGTCTGGTCTCTATATTTTGATGCACGTATGAATGATTATTGTATTTGCATCTGACCTTGATTTTTCTCCACCAAGTCCTCCAATCAGCTTCTCTGCTCTTTCTAGTTTCTTAGCACACAGATCCACCTGGAATTCTAGACGAGCCTTTTCTTCAGTTTTCTCAACAAAGGTTTGTTGCAATTTTGCCAAATGATGCTCTACTTCTGCAAGTTCAGCTCTCTTCTGATTCAGTAATGCCATAGTTTCTGCTAAAGACTGCTGGGCCTCCCCTAGACGGGCTTTCTTGGGAGCAACCACCTAGTCAATTACAATTAATACAGGAATGCTAAATCCATATATTATAGGTTTCTGATACATATAGAATTTTATACAACACATTGGAATGGTATTACAATGTTAAGGAAGAGAAAATTTTATAATATTAATATGTGGAAAGAAGCCATAGTGATAAGTAGGAAAGGGGGTCCTAATATACTAAATACAGTCTCTTTTTTGAGAATGAAGCTTAGAAAACATAGCCAATTAATAATGAATATTCATTCTAAATTACTTGAATAAAATTATTATATTAAATTAAGAAATGAATTTGCATTACCAAGGTAGCAAGTATACTGTATTGACGCCTGCCATAAACTTGGACCCAATATTGGACACCATACATTATTATTATAGCAGCAATGTTAGTGCCATTGATAATAAAATTACTGCTGTAAAACAGACAAGAACTAAAGCAGACAGAATTATTTTATTCTCCCTTTTCTCTAATTTAATAATTAAAACTACAAAAAAGAACAATACACAAATCCTCAAAACATTATTGGTCCAAAGTACCATCCACTGGTTAAAAAAATTACTCGATTTATAATTTGAATTTCAATAGCCATACACAGATAGCAATTTAGATTATATCATCTGAAAAAAAAGAACACAAATATTTTCTCACGGTATTCTAGCAGAATGAACATATTTCTGATCCATTTAGCATTGTGTGTACCCTATGGTAGAAATTCTTAAATTATTTAATTCTTTGGATTTCTGTGTAAGAGACAGTCTCTTGCATAAACTCTCTTTCTGTCTTGTCTCCATTTAACAAACATATGGACCACCCAGATCACAAATTTAGATATCCTCTTTCATGGTATAAGCAGTAAATCAAATTATCGTTATAGTTTCCAACAGACTTTATAATACTTCATTTTAATTTGTATGCTGCTTCAGTAAAAACATATCTGCATCAAATCTAACTTATTTTCATCTTCACAGATAGTTTACAAGAGATTCATTTATTCAGTGCTCTGTTAAATTTGAAAATAATTATCCTAATATTTTCCAGTGAAGAACCTTGCATTTCAGTTTAACTGCAAACTTACTAAATAATTTAGGCTATATCTACACAACAACGTTTTGCTGACAAAACTAATGTCGACAACCAAAAATCGACAAAATAAAAATCATCAGAGTGTTCAGTCTTGCGCTTTCTGTCAACAGATCATGTACTCATTGGAGGCATCATCATAGATAGTATGAGCAATGCACTGTGGGTATGTATGTATCCCACAGCTGATACCTGCACTTCTTAGGATTCCTTCCGAGTTCTCCCACAGCATTTTCAGCTGCTGTGAGCAGTATCATGAATAGCTCTATGAGCACTTCATGTGGAGAAATGTCAAAGCAGCACAGCATCTATCCTCCTCCCCCTGCAGCAGCAGTCTGCCTGATGCTGTGTTCCTAGTATATGGCAAAATAGGAGCACTCCAATGGTTTGTTCTTTGTTCCTCAAATGGAGCAGATTATTCAGTTGTCACTTTCTGGAGCTTTGAAAGGGGAGGGGTACAGGCCTGCAGGCAGCAGAGATCAAAACAAAGTTATCTAGGCAGGCATTGTGGGATACTGATGAAAGCCAGTTCCGTCAACAAAATAAACAGCAGAATCTACACTGACTCTTTGTTGACAATACAAGGAGAGGGAAAAGAAAAAAAAATCTCTCATAGGAATAAAGTTTTTGGTCACCAAAACGGGGTGTTCTTCCCAACAAAAGTTATATTGCAGTGTGAATACTCTCACTGTTTTGTCGGCAAAAGGTAGTTTTTGGTGACAAAACTTGTTAGAATAGACAAAGCCTTAGTCTTTTAGTCCTCATGTGTATGTAGTTTCACTGAAGTCAGCTGAAGTTTGCACGATTGAGATCACAATCAAAACATACCTTAGCAACTCTGTCATACACTTCCATAGCCATAATCCATTTACACAAACCCTCGGCTGCTGACGATGCTTTAGCCACTTTAGGTGGATCAAACTCAGGATTAGTCAGATATTCAGAACGAATCTTCTGCATGACAGCCACCTACATGAGATAAAAACATTACAGCCAAAGGAAAACTTAGTTTATCTAAGGCCCAGTTTTGCCACCTTTATTCACGGCTGAACAGTGCCTTACCTCCACAAGCTGATCAACGGAAATCACTAAGGACTTATTCAATATGAATAACTGTAACTGAATCCAGCTCTAATTTATTTCTCTGATTTTCTCAGTGTCTACACTCTACAGGTTGTACTTCCCTTAACTGGGACTCCCTGGTCCGGCAACATCTGTGGTCTGGCATGATTTACTGAATTAAGACTGCATCTTCAACCAGAATACGTGACTGAATTATACTGCCTGTGCCTAATTCTGGGCCCAATTTTGTGAGGTACTAAGTATTCAGCAACTTGCAAAAGATCAGGCCCATAGATAATAAGTTCCCAGAAGGCACAGGTCACTTCTGTATATTGCACCATTGTACATCTTGGGCATGTAATCATACCATGCTATCCATCATGTCAGATTTCATCTATTTTCCAGATAAACTGGTTTAATGAAATAAAAAAAATCTGACATTTAGTCCTTTCAAAAATAAATAAAATGTATTATGTCAGATCTGATTTTATCATAGCTTCTCTGGAAAGCACACAGGAACTGATTTAGTAAAGTGGATACAAGGAGATGTTACTTACATATTTTTTAGTTATCTAAATCTAAATACAGAACTATTTATTCAGGCAGCTAGCTGACAGAGATACAGATACACCATACAAGGTTCCTAATGAGGGAAAGGGTCATCTTTACTCATCTGCAGAATATGCAGTTACATAGGGCACCCAAATATTCGGGGCACCACTGGGTCCTAATGTTCCACCAGCTGACGCTTCCTATTCCTGTTCTGTGGCTCTGTTTCCTCCAGAAAGGATCTAGTTAACTTAAAGTGAAAAAGCCTGCCAGACCTATTAGCAGAATATTGAATATGTGAAAGAGCTATTCAAGTGGTAATGAAGCCATTGAACAGACATTCACCAACCCCAGGAATATACTGTCAGTTTCTGAATATACTGTAGTCGCCTACGGGACCTACGTTTAAAATGTGCTTTAAAAATATTTCTTTAGTGTGCTGATGAAGATTATAAAATCACATCTCTAAAACATCACCTCCTCCCTTGGCTGCCATCAGGCAAAGGGGCACCAGTTTAATAGTGAAGAGTAGGGCCCTATAAATCATAAGGATGGCCCGGCTGAGGGATAACTCTAAATCTTGCTAGACCATCATTGGAGGTAGGAGCTACTGAAAGGCTATGTTGAAACGCTGTATTTCCTGTCTGCCCTGGCTATGCACCTCTTCTTGATCAGGGTCATTCACTTCTCAAACTTCACTCCTAAAAGCCCTTAGAACAACTGAGGTTGCAAGCTTGTTTGCTGACACAATTACCTCTTCCCCATGCAGGTTATTTCCATGAAAGCCCTATGTGAATTTACCCTTTGGTGTAATATCTTTTCTCTATACATTTCATTACTCAAAAGACATTAACCAAGCACTTACTGGAATGTTATCCTTGTCATATTCTCTCAGATCCTTTAAGAAATTCATGTCACCCAGAACTTTCTTGCTAGGCCCCCAGTAATCCAAGACCTAACAAAGAAAATTAGGGAAGAATTTTTAAAATGTTTAAACCATAACAAATTCATAAATATCCTCTACTTAACAGACAGGCGTGCATGCTTATTACAGAACGTTGATAAAAGTCAGATCTCATATGTTTAAGGTTTTAGCCAAGACTGTTTATATTTTGAAACTTTTACTATACTACAAATCCAAAGTATTTGCCACTTAGTTCCATCATGTTTGTTATTAATATAAGGTACTATCTTCTCTAATGTCCTAATGTCAGAGCAGGATTCTTTTCCAAGATGAAAATCTCCCTGAGGATGTAGTCAGCCACAGAGAGAGGAGTTTGTCAGGCCAAATACTTCCCCACAACCTACTTAAAAATTTAACAGTGACAAAGGGAAAAAGGCCTTTTACTCTGTTGATCAAGGGGTACCCCTTATACAATAAGAGAGTTGTGCCTGATTCATCACCTGTAGCGATTAAGGAAATAGTCCACATAACTGCCATGCCTCTACAAAATCAGTAACAACTCTCAGGAAAAAGGAGCTCTCCACAAGCCATCCTGTAGCTCCATAGCTTGAACTTCCAATCCACCTTCTTTCTCCTTGCAGATGTACAACATGCAAATGTGTTTCTGGTTTATAGGGCCCTCTATTTTCATTTGAGAATAACTGCTAGTGATGAACAATTATAAAAATTACATTCTTATTTGAAATTTGTTTTCTGCCATTTTACCTTGCCTCCAGTCCCTGAAGGATCTGTAATTTTTTCAGGTTTTATATCTTTCATAACACAGATGGCAGCCATAACAAGTTTGACACCAGATGGAGGATTCTTCATTGATTTCACAATTGTTATATCAGCAGGCTAAAACAAAAGTGACAATTTTTATCAACCAGTTTATTATGACCAAGTAATATACACATTATGTAGTGAATAAAAACAGAAATTAAAGGAATTCTAACACTACACACAATAAATATAATAATAGTAATAGGTTTTTTAGAAGGGATGATTTGAAAATATATAGTAAACATTGCCTTAATACAAGAAAAATCCACCATGCAGCAACTTTCTCTTATACATGTGAAATCACAATTAGATCAATTTTGATATGTGTAAACAAAATATACAAAATATACAAAAATCCAAAATTAAGTCAAAAGATTTATTTGGTACTCATCCCTATGAGTCTCAACACAAGACTGCTCATGCAGGCATATTCTCTACAATAATATTCTAAAATCCGGAAACTGAGTAATGATGGCAAGGAGGTGCCTCTGAAAAAAATCAAGATCCAGAAAATTCTTAGCCATATTATAATATTAAATCAGAAATATAAGGGGTGGATTCCTTGAATTGACAACCCAACGCTAAGCTGGGTGGAGAAATTAAATTAGAACATTTTGTTTGGTGTCTACTGCAGCTCCAGTCCTGTCAACAGGTTTCCCCTTAGCATTAAGAATGTGATTACTCCCATGAAATAATTGAATCAGACTATGTGTGAGAGTTAAGCGTGTACAAATATTTTTGTAAGATCTTAATCACATTTTCTTGTCTCACCTTAATTTTTTGTGTAGTAATGATCAGGTGATTTCCTAAAGCAAGAAATTTAGGGCCTAATCCTGAGATTTAGTACCTAATGCTAAGCACTTCCTGACAGAGCTCAACTCCCACTGATGTCATTCGGAATTGAGGATGCTCAATATCTTGCTAAAAGAACACACCTCCTTACATGATCAGACCCACTCATTCAAAAAAGATGACAAACTAAAGATATACAGAGTAGAAGTTTGTGATGATTTGTCACTAAGCAGACAAGGAAAACATAAAACAGAGATGGACCAGAAAAAAGAATAAAGGACAGAATCACAGAATAAACTGGAAGGGACCTCGAGAGGCATCAAGCCCAGTGCCCTACCCTCACAGCAGGATCATCCCTGATAGGTGTTTGTTTAACCTGCTTTTAATATTTCCCACGATAGAGATTCCACAACCCTCCTAGGCAATTTATTCCAGTATTTAACCTCCCTAGGTGTGTCTAGACTACAGGGTTTTTTCGAAAAAAGGCTACTTTTTTCAAAAAAAAATTCCCTGCATCTAGATTGCTGCTGAAAGTTTATCAAAAGAATGAGGCAGGTTTTTCAACCACGGAAAACCTCATTTTACGAGGAAGAATGCCTTTTTTCGAAAGTGCTCTTTCGAAAAAGGACACTATGTAATGCAAACTGTGCTTTTTCAAAAGAGAGCATCCAGACTGCCTGGGTGCTCTCTTTTGAAAAAGCGGCTTGCTTTTTCGAAAGTACTGGTTGTAGTCTAGACACTCTTTTTAGAAAGAGGATTGTAATCTAGACGCAGCCCCTGACAGTTAAGAAGTTTTTCCTAATGTCCAACCTAAAGCTGCAATTTAAGCCCATTGCTTCTTGTCCTATCATCAGCGGTCAAGGAGAATAATTTTTCTCCCTCCTCCTTATAACACCCTTTTAGGTACTTGAGAACGAGGCATGCTCCAGTCTGGGGAAGAAATGAGGGGGAACCTCCAAAAAACTGACTATGCTACTAAATAAACACTAATAAGAAACAATAACTATTTACAAACAGTAAGAAAAGACCTTTAGATGGGCACTTGTAGGACAGAAGAGACCAAGCTGTTCCAACAACTATCACTGGGAATAAGAAGGAGCTGAACAGACAGAGGGTTGGCAGTACCTATATACACCACCACGAAAGCACCACTCCAGAGTGGTCCACTGCCGACCAAATGGGTTGTGCTAGGGGAAAAGCCTTCTGACAACTGTGCACGAGGTGCCCACATACCTAGTTGGAATAGACATGAATAAGCACTCTATAACTGAGAACTTTAACCTTTCTCAAACCTTTTCTTGTTTTCTCCATAATGGCTAATATCTCAAAGTTCATAGAAATAATAAGTAATTATTTAGAGTGACATTTTTAAAATGTAGCTTGCCTTAAGAGTGTCAAGTGCAGAAAGTGCTGCCTCTAGCGCAGGAATTGCCTCCGCCAGGTCACTCTCACACTCATTCTTCAGTTCCTGGGCTTCTGCTGCTTTTTCTGTAGCAATCTCTTCATCTATTTTCACAGTTCTGCTTTTTGCTTCCACTTCTGCAGACTCCCTTTCTATAATCTAAAAAATCACTCATGAGCAGAATTCACCAAACTTTCCACTAAATGATGTTTAATCAATCAACTATCTGGGGCTATGACGTAGACCATCTATAAAATAATCCTGGTTTACTTCTTTGTCTAGTTCAGTAGACTAATATTAAAGTTGTTAATTGACCTGCATAAAGAATTATTTTCTCAAAATAAACTGGAAAGATCTACAGTTAATGGGAATTCTGTAAGAGTAACATAAAATCTCTGTGGACTTATATGAGTAAATTCCCAGTTATAGCAGCTATGATAGGGTCTACACTATAGCCTTAGTCCTGATAATTTGCATGGCTCTCTACACCAGCATTATTAACCCCACCTTCATGAAAACTGTAGGACTTATACTGGTTTAGGAAGATACAGTGTCTGTGTAGAACCAGGGGTAGTCAATTTTTCTGGTCACAGTCCAAATTTTTTAGTCAAAGTATAATAAAGGTCCAGATTCCAGAGAAACATTTTTTATGCCACAATACAATCAATGATGATAATCTGCTATATATTTGAGAGAGTCTGTGTGTCTGTGAGTGAGCATCTGTATGTCTGTCTGTATGTTTGTTCAAGTGTTCCTCTTAAATGGTAAGATCTAGGACCACCCAATTTGGCATGCAGCTTCCTTTTATCATAACTTATAGCAAGGTAATCCCCAGGGGATTCATTCTTGCTGATTGTTTTTGTCTTTTCTCCCCCTTTGGGTACCATTATGGGAAACAGCTTTACATTCTGCTGGGCCTTACTTCCCCAGATTTCCTGGAAACCCTTATCAACATGATAGTTGGTAATTAAAATAATCATATAGTCATTATAAATGAAACAAATTATGTATTTTATTATTGAACAATATCTTTGCTTATCTCTACCTTCATCATATTTGCATTATCCACTTTAGCCTCCTCCAGTTTGGGTTGCAGATCAACTAGTTCTTGCTTCATTTCACCAACCTACATAGACATTTCCTTATAAAATTATCACAATAGCAGTAAATGCTAAACACATAGCAAATAATAAGTGGAAAGTTTAACATTTAAATACAATGTAAAATCAAATATGGCTAATATATTTAAAAGAACACCACATAAATTGATTATATTCTCTGAAAATAGGCTAGAACATTAGTGACAAGAACCTGTGGTTTAAAAATTAGAGAAACATCAGTATTATAAATAAAATTATTAAATATAAGAACAGTGGGTGAAATCTTGGTCACATTTAAATCAAGAGAAAAACTTCCATTGACTTTAAACATCAGGATTTCATCTAATGATATTTATTTTAATAATTTAAGCAAGCCTTTTATATCAAAACAAAGAAAACACTGCAGAAAGATTAAGATTATAGCGCTCAATCCTGTAGCCCTATGGTTTCGAGTCACATCCATACAAGCACATACTAAATCCAACAACTGAAATTAGGCAAAGTATTACAGCTCACAAAAGACTGCACCATGCCCCAAGAAGACAACCAGAAAGGTTGAGGTGCAGCAGTACAACAGCAAGGAAATAATTAATTGATATATACTCAGATAATCCTGGCAATTGATCCACACCCACACACTGCACAGAAAAGTGAAAAAGCTCCAAGGTCACTGCCAATTTAGCCTTGGAGAAGCCTTATAAGCATGCCTTAAGCAATCATTTGGAGAGTGTTGAGACCCTCAATCTCACCATCTAGAACAGGGCTACTCAACATGCTGCCCGCAGCCTGTTTGTTTGTGGCCTGTGGTGCAGTTTGGGTTTACACGTGGCCCCTGGGTGGGATCCCTTGAACATTGCCTCCACTGGGAATACGCTCCACAACAGTGAAGTGTTTCCTAGGCGGGATGAGCACTGAAAGATGCAATCAGGCAGGCTGGCTGCAACAGATGGGTACAGGGTGTCGGCGTTTCTAGCCCCCAGGGGAGGAGGTGCTGGGAGTGCTGGGACATTGTGCGAAGTGCTTTGTATTCATGCGTGTGAATGTGAAAGAAGGTGTGTGTGTGTGTGTATGTGTAACCACACTTAAGTTGCGGCCCTTGGCATGTGCTGAAAGTATTATTGTGGCCCCTAGAGCTTCCAAAGTTGAGTAGCCCTGATCTAGAGAGAAGCATCAGCTCAGTAAACTCTTCTGGACAGACACTGGAATAAAAATATTTTTGTGGACATTACTGAGAAAATCTCCATGAGGAGTCATAACCAGGATGCTGATAAATGCCAAGAACAAACAGTTTACAATGGCTTATATTATAGTCAGTTATGCCAGGAAATGTCTTGCTGTGGATATATTACTGGTTACTTCCCAAAAGACAACCAGAATTGTGAAAATGTTGTAAGAGCTCCTACTATTTTTAGAGAGATAAGATGGGTAAGGTGATATCTTTTACTGGACCAACTTTTGTTGGTGAATGAGACAAGCATTTGAGCTACATAAACTATTTCTTAATCCAAAATAAAACCACAGAAGTTGTTTTAGATACAGCAATTGGAATTTAGCTCCCACACTGGAAATTTTAAGGTTTTTATTTGTGGTTCTGCTTTTGACTTGTCTATATAGATGTATTTCTGAGTTCAATTTCTGCCTGATCCAACATGCGCTTCTACTCACCTGAGATTCAGCAAAAGCTAGTTTGTCTAGTCCATTAGTATAACCCTTTTTGGCTTTCATCACAGTATCCCGTTTTTGAGTTAAAAGTTGTTGGAAGGCAGCAATAAGTTCAAGATAAGAAGTAGGAGTAACATAATTATGTCGCCTCAGTGTTTCCAAGAATCTATGGGAAAAAATATAATCTTTTTAACTACAAAGGGATGGAAAACAAAATGTGACAACAGAATGATCTCTTTGTTTCAAGAATAAAAATATCACACTCAAGCATGTGCTAAACTTGTACAGTTCATCAAATGTATAAATTCACAGTACAGAAATGATTAGTAATGATAGTGACTAAACTACCTCATTAAGTAATTTAGTTCATCACCTAATAACCTTAATTAACAAATGCTATCTAACCTCAAATCTACATATTATTTTTAATTTTAAATTATTTTTCATTTTAATCACTTCTTATAGCATAAAAAATCTAATCTTGTCCTCCTTAAAACTTTATTTATATAAAATATTAACCTATTTTTAAAAAATATACAAAACTAACTTTTCAGAGAGTGATAAAACTGAAGTATGGAAGTGTTTACAGATGGGCACCACTTCTTGCCGTTCATTGTCTGTGAGCTGAAGTGTTTCTAAGAATTTATTAGCTACACGTTCAAGAGCATCTTCAGGCCATGGCTGAAAAAAAAGGGGGGGAGAGGGAGAACATAAAATTTAGGTGTTACCTCTCATAATTTGTGCAAAAGCATAATTTTTACACTTCATAACAAGCAGTTTCTATAATGGGTCCAACACAGTATATCTCAAGAAGTGGCTTAATGGGCTAACCAATACAGCTAGCTGTAGTTTAATTGCTGATAACACTATTTGTAATGATTATTGCCTGTATCAATTAAAAGTAATTATCTAAGTTTCAGTTCTACAGGTTGAATCTCTCTAGTCTGGCATTCTCTGGTCCAGTAATATTTGTGGACCAGCATAATTTTAGTTAGCCAGATGTCCAGTTATCATGGATGTGGCCAAGTTTCCTGCAATCCCATAAAGTTTGTTTACAGCCACCACTGCTGGCGCTCAGTGTTCTGTACTGTTATTTAGCTCTAATTAATCCCTAAATGTCTTCTAAGAGCTGAGTAAGCAGTAGAAGTGTAGATAATGCCGATAGACAATATTGACCTTCCATGGTTTGGCATACGAGGTTGTTACCAGGGCCGTCCTTAGGATTTATGGTGCCTCTATGCCTGACTTGCTCTTCCACTCCTACATCCTCTCCTTCCCTTCCCAGAGACCCTAGCAGCCAATCCCCTCCCTCCAACTGTGCTGCAGACAGTGCATTCAGCCCTCTCTAGGACCCAGCCCTGCTGTTACATGTGTAACCCTTCCGCTGGGTAGGCCTGGCAGCAACCAGGGCCGGGTTCAATATCTAGGGCTATGTCTATACTGGTGGGTTATTGCGCAACAACTCTTTTGTGGAAGAGTTCTTGTGCAAAAACTCTTCCACAAGAAAGCGTCTACACTGCCATGTGCTTTTGCATAAGAGCATCCATGGCAGCATAGACGCTCTCTTGGGCAAGAAAGTTCTGATGGCCATTTTAACCATACGGGCTTCTTGTGCAAGAAATTCATGTTGCCTGTCTACACTGACCTCTTCTGGAAGAGCTCTTGTGTAAGAGGTCTTATTCCTCATGGGGAGAGGAATAACTCTTCCGGAAGAAGCCCTGTTTTCCAATGCTGTACTGTAACCATTGTTCTTTAGCACTTAGCCGTAGCAGTTGAAGAAATTGATTTGAAGAGAAATTTTTTTTTTTTTTTTTAAAGATCAATAGAAACTGTAGAACAGGAACATGACTAACACTAAGTGTAACTATTTACACTGAAAAAAATTAACTAATAGCGTTACTGAGAAAATAGATATGAGAACACAGGGAGATCCGACCGCGACCTGAGGCGGTTGAGAGGAACTGACGGTTGCCAGGCTGCGCGCGGCTGATCAAAGGCGCGAACGGCGCTTTGAAGGAGCGCGCATGCGCGGGCTGGTGGAGCACGGCTATGAAAATTATCCAAGCTGCAGCGCCGGGACAGGACCCAACACCTAGAGTGGAGCACCCATGGGGCCACTCGAAAAAGAATTAATGTTGCCTGTCTACACGGGCCTTTTCTGGAAGAGCTCTTGTGTAAGAGGGCTTATTCCTCATGGGGAGAGGAATAACTCTTCTGGAAGAAGCCCTGTTTTCCAATGCGGTACTGTAAATTTACTTCTGGAAGAACGCTCGTGCAATGTAGACAGCCAGCAAGTTTTTGTGGAAGAACAGCTGTTCTTGTGCAAGGGTGTGTCTAGACTACATGCCTCCTTCGACGGAGGCATGTAGATTAGCCAGATCGG